CAGTCCATAGCATCAATGCCTTCGTCTTGCAGGAACTGCTGACACACTCCAGCCACATGAGGTCTAGCATTGTCGTGCATTAGGAGGAACCCAGAGCCAACCGCACCAGCATATGGTCTCTTGGTATCTAATGGCAGTCAGGCTACCTCTGGCGAGCACATGGAGGGCAGTGCAGCCCCCTAAAGAAATGCCACCCCACACCATTACTGACCCACTGCTAAACCGGTCATGTTGGAGGATATTGCAGGCAGCAGAACGTTCTCCATGGCATCTCCAGACCCTGTCACATCTGTCACATGTGCTCAGTGTGAACCTGCTTTCATCTGTGAAGAGCACAGGGCACCAGTGGTGAATTTGCCAATCTTGGTGTTCTCTGGCAAATGCCAAACATCCTGCATGGTGTTGGGCTGTAAGCACAACCCCCACCTGTGGACATCGGGCCCTCATACCACCCTCATGGAGTCTGTTTCTGACTGTTTGAGCAGCAACATGCACATTTGTGGCCCGTTGGAGGTCATTTTGCAGGGCTCTGGCAGTGCTTCTCCTGTCCCTCCTTGCACAAAGGCGGAGGTAGCAGTCCTGATGCTGGGTTGTTGCCCTCCTACGGCCTCCTCCACATCTCCTGATGTACTGGCCTGTCTCCTGGTAGCGCCTCCATGCTCTGGACACTATGCTGACAGACACAGCAAACCTTCTTGCCACAGCTCGCATTGATGTGCCATCCTGGATGAGCTGCACTACCTGAGCCACTTGTGTGGGTTGTAGACTCCGTCTCATGCTACCACTAGAGTGAAAGCACCGCCAGCATTCAAAAGTGACCAAAACATCAGCCAGAAAGCATAGGAACTGAGAAGTGGTCTGTGGTCACCACCTGCAGAACCACTCCTTTATTGGGGATGTCTTGCTAACTGCCTATGCTTTCCACCTATTGTCTATTCCATTTGCACAACAGCATGTGAAATTGATTGTCAATCAGTGTTGCTACCTAAGTGGACAGTTTGATTTCACAGAAGTGTGATTGACTTGGAGTTACATTGTGTTGTTTAAGTGTTCCCTTTATTATTTTTTTGAGCAGTGTACATAATGGTTTATCCAGTACTGTAACTATTATACAACTACAGGAATAATTAAAAACTAATCAACCACAAAAGTTATCAGATTACACATTGAAGTTTGCCATGAAGCAAATATCCTGACTTGAAATCTGTAGAAAAAGTACACTAATATGGTGGTTTTGTGCCAGCATTTCTGAATAGGATTGTATATTAGCCAACATATCCACACATTTCCCAAGGTACACTATCCTGAGCCAGATTAGAAGCAGATGATGAAACAAACAAGAACGAAACCTCCATATTATCAGAGATACCAATATGTTAGTAACAACAAAAGTGTTTTTTGTATGTTGAATATGAAAATAAAGGTTAGAGAAGAAACTATGTTTTGAAAATCAGTCTCTGAAGTAAAGTGATATTCAAATGTTTCCTTGGTTACTGACTGACCAAATACATGTCTAAAAAAAGATAAGAGCAATTATTAAAGAGATTCAAAACTATTAGAATTAAAGCTATGTCCTACAGCAAAATACTGCATATGATAAATCTGTGTCATTTTCCAGTTGTCTCCCTAAGCAGTTATGCTGATCAAATAAATAGGTAACTGGTGGACATGCAGTATAAATAATTGAACAGAGCTAATTTCATTCATCTGGAGCTTATATAGCACTATTCCTATAAGCAGTTAATGTGTCATTTCAGGCTTCAGTGCAAAACATAGATACAGTTAATAGAGCCTGACAAGCCTTATATATGCCAAGAGAAGTTTCTCAAGTGAACTTGGGTCAATCTGTCTCAGCCCAGCTTGCTTAACAGGGTTGTTACTGTGGGGGAAAATAGAAGAGGCGCCAAGTATGCCAACTTGTTGTATTAAATACAGGTGAAACTTGAAAAATTAGAATATCGTGCAAAAGTTCATTTATTTCAGTAAAAGGTGAACCTAATATGAGATAGACTCATTACATGCAAAGCAAAATAGTTCAAGCCATGATTTGTCATAATTGAGATTATGGCTTACAGCTCATGAAAACCCCAAATCCACAATCTCAGAAAATTAGAATATTGTGAAAAGATTCAATATTCTAGGCTCAAAGTGTCCCACTCTAATCAGCTAATTAAGCCATAACACCTGCAAAGGGTTCCTGAGCCTTTAAAGGGTCTCTCAGTCTGGTTCAGTAGGAATCACAATCATGGGAAAGACTGCTGACCTGACAGTTGTGCAGAAAACCATCATTGACACCCTCCGTAAGGAGGGAAAGCCTCAAAAGGTAATTGCAAACGAAGTTGGATGTTCCCAAAGTGCTGTATCAAAGCACATTAATAGAAAGTTATGTGGAAGGGAAAAGTGTGGAAGAAAAAGGTGCACAAGCAGCAGGGATGACCGCAGTCTGGAGAGGATTGTCAGGAAAAGGCCATTCAAAAGTGTTGGGGACTTTCACAAGGAGTGGACTGAGGCTGGAGTCAGTGCATCAAGAGTCACCACACACAGATGGATCCTGGACATGGGCTTCAAATGCCGTATTCCTCTTGTCAAGCCACTCCTGAACAACAAACGTCAGAAGTGTCTTATCTGGGCTAAAGAAAAACAGAATTGGTCTGTTGCTCAGTGGTCCAAAGTCCTCTTTTCTGATGAGAGCAACTTTTCCATCTCATTTGGAAACCAAGGACCCAGAGTCTGGAGGAAGACTGGAGAGACACATACTGCAAAATGCTTGAAGTCTAGTGTGAAGTTTCCACAGTCTGTGTTGATTTGGGGAGCCATGTCATCTGCTGGTGTTGATCCACTATGCTTCATTAAGTCCAGGGTAAACGCAGCCGTCTACCAGGAGATTTTGGAGCACTTCATGCTTCCTTCCGCAGACGAGCTTTATGGGGATGCTGACTTCATTTTCCAGCAGGACTTGGCACCTGCCCACACTGCCAAAAGCACCAAAACCTGGTTCAATGACCATGGGATTACTGTGCTTGATTGGCCAGCAAACTCATCTGACCTGAACCCCATAGAGAATCTATGGGGCATTGCCAAGAGAAAGATGAGAGACATGAGACCGAACAATGCAGAAGAGCTGAAGGCTGCTATTGAAGCATCCTGGTCTTCCATAACACCACAGGCTGATAGCTTCCATGCCATGCCGCATTGAGGCAGTAATTGCTACAAAAGGGGCCCAAACCAAGTACTGAGTACATATACATGCTTATACTTTTCAGAGGTCCAATATTGTTCTATGTACAATCCTTGTTTTATTGATTGCATGTAATATTCTAATTTTCTGAGATTGTGGATTTGGGGTTTTCATGAGCTGTAAGCCATAATCATCTCAATTATGACACATCATGGCTTGAACTATCTTGCTTTGCATGTAATGAGTCTATCTCATATATTAGTTTCACCTTTTAAGTCGCATTACTGAAATAAATGAACTTTTGCACGATATTCTAATTTTTTGAGTTTCACCTGTATAACCTGAACATTGGGCAGTGTTTCCCTTCATTAAGTCGGCATGGATTCTTATGGCATGACATAAATTCCTAAATTTCAGCTATTTAGTATTGTTTAGATACCCAGAATCTGCCCTATAAACTTCCCTCAAATTAAATTGTAGCTTCTTTGGTCTGCTGAGGCTGCTATAAGCACAGTCCTGAGAAACAATGTCTTCTATCTGTATAAGAGGCATGAAACTGGTATGACCCTCAGCATTGTGGCCTTTTTTGTTGTAGCAAACAAAGTGTCCTTTGAAATACAGGCTTAAATACATCCAGCGCATATTAGATTGGTTATGCTCAAAACATTTTTATACCCACATTCCTCTGGAGAAAGATACAGATATTCTGTTTTTCCATGACCATCAGCTAGAACAGAACATGTATGACAGTCCCACATTCACAGTTTGACTCAAACTTTACTGAAATACGAGATAAGAATAACTTTCCCCCTCACCTCTTTTTTTCTGCAGTATTTGTTTAAATGGCAAAGTCAATTCACTCAATCTCCATTACACAATTTTAAAGGCCACAACATAGTAGTAGCAAGTCTTTAATATTTTCAACGTAGCATTTCATGTTACATTCTACTGAACATGTTTTTTTGTAACAAATTGGAGCACTTCCCTGGAGTTATTAATTCTGGCTTAGTATTCATTAGATAATTATACTACACCAGTATATTTTTGACAGGGATTCCTTCAATAGGCATTTATTTTGTACAGCGTATTTATTCTTTAGAGAGAGAGAAACAAATTAACGCTCTACCCATATTAATAATCACTGTGGCCAAAACTATGGAAAGAGCTACTACAGTTTTACACCTTGAATATTGCCTGGGTAAATTTTCATTTTACTTTTTTAACTCAGGTAAACTTCCAATTTCTTCTTGCAGTGCCCTTAAATATTCCACCCTTCACTACTTATGTTGTGATTTTTCATATCATGGAATTTTCAGGGAATCAGATTTATTAACATTGTAAAATTGTTCATTTCTTTCTAGTTTTCACTGCTCAGTGGATCATTGATGACCACATAAAGACATAATGAACTGAATATATTATGTATCTTCTCTCAAATTAACATCACTGTTTGTAATTGAAAGGATATATGTAGATGGGTACATGAAAACTAGATCAAACACAACTTGTTCTGTAGTTAGTTCTAGCATTTTCCATTCCGAACTGAGAAGAGTTTCATTTTTTAAAGTAGATTTGGCTTTACTGAAATCAGGAAGCTGTACAAAAACTGCAGCAAAATTCCCAGATAGTGGCAGGCGTACCTTTTTGACACAACTATATTATTTGAAATTATTCATGTTTCACTTGCTGAAAATCAAAAAGAAGCAAATTTTATACTTAAAGTAGCATTTATTATTGCCAAAAATGTGTGCAATAGAAATGCTACCATTAAGAGTACTGACCCCATGCTGAATGACAGTTTTCAAATAATTTTTAAGCTGGATTGAACTGAACTATTGATGGCAGCTTTTTGTGCTCTTTCCTCATTATCTTAGAGGGATTCGTGCAGGACTGCTTTGTTTCCTACACAATTTCTTCTACTTTAGAAACAAAGGGAAATTGTCTGATACTAAAGATGTGTAAAATGTTTCACGCATGATATAGCCATCTTTAGGAGGCCAATGCCCACACTGAGGCATGTTTTGGCATGATGGATTGTGAATAGCAAACAACAGTTGTTTCGTTTCAGGTAGAAATGATCGGGGGTGGGGTGGGGGAGAGGATGGGACATGACAGGTACCCTGGCACCTGAAGGGAAGGCAAAAGGCAAACCAGTGTTACGTGCCATTCTGGAATGTCAACAATGTCAAAGGAGAGGAAGGTTCTAGGAAAATGGGAGCAAGGGCCACTGGTATATGACCCACTAGAACACTCCTTAAAGGGAAAGCACTGGGGGAAAGGGTGGCACAGATCTCCTCTCTTTCCCTTCCTCTCTTTGGCTTTTCCCGGTATGATGATATGGCCTACTGAGAAGCATTGAGGGAGAGGAAGGGAAAGAGGAGTAATACATGCCATTTAACCCTACTTGGCCCACTTGGATTTTGTTCCATCTGAAACCCAGAATAACCAAAGCATTCTGGGTTTTGGGTTCTGCTAAACTGTGGCTGATATGGAACAGGACATCGGGAATACAGCAGATGGTTTAAAACATTCTTCCTATTTCGTGTACACCCCTACCTAATATGGAGAAATCAATAGATACATCTCATAATTTACATTCCTAAAAAGGTCAATTTTTTTTCCTGTAGCACCTAATTACATATGTTTAAATAACATTATTTATTAACAAACAGATGTCATGTTTTGAAATCTAAAATCACTTTCATAACTTCAAAAAAAGATGTTACTTGAGTTTTTTTAAACTACAGTATTTGCTTTCTTTTCCTTTTTTACTTGCTGCCTCTTGTATTTGCAGAACATAATTAACTGAGAGTTTTGCCGTATTTGATAATCATCAGTTTATGTATGTAGACACATACATATCTTTACGTATGTATGTACACAAGTATATACAATCTGTGTATGAAAACTACTGAGGCATTACATTTCACACCACTGAGGTAGTACTTTCAGGATTAATACGCATTAGTCGTGAAACATTCCTCAGATCCTGCAACTGCTTAGCAGGCTTTCCAACACCTTCCTCAAATCTTTTTTCCACAACAGGAAGGACAGTTTCATAAAGGAAAGATGCATTTTGCCTGATGAATGCTTTCTTCTCAGGATCCTGTTCACACCGTAAACTGTAATCAACATGTTGGATGGCCACAAGGATTATCTCCATCAGACTTTCTAGCAGGACCATATGCAGCTCAGGGAAATACAACTTGAGAGCGTCCTCCAAGAAAGCCATGGTCTGTTTTGTGAAAGCCACAACAGTGTAGCTAAGATTCACCCAGCAGTCATCTCCAGTGTACTGATCAAAATTGGTCACACCACAGCTCCTCATTTCCTCTCTAAGCTTTCCTAAGGCTTCAGGGGTCATCAGGTTCATTCTCCTCCACATCTCTTCAGAGTTGCGATGTTTTGTGGCCTCAATTATAATGTCTTTGTAGCTCTGCAGAGCCTCTTTGATATCCTTTACTAGTAGGGCATGAATAATGAAGGTCAAATCCAGACCAATATCGCCAAGTTGCTTACAATGTTCCTTTGCCACCTTCAACAACAAATGACATTAATTAAATCTAAAGATGTTGCACAATGCAGAAATGGTAAAATAATCTTCCTATTGAAAACATTAGAGAACACTGAAACATAGCTTTAAACCAATCTCTGCATAGTATTTCAGGATCAGTAATAGATAATTGTCTAATCCAGGGATGCTAACAGCCACATTTCTTGGAAGACTTTGTTGCCAAAAGTCAATGAGGGATGTTAATATCTATTACATATATAATAGGCAGAAAGATGAAGGGAATGATTGGAAGGAAAGTTACTAATACCAAATATAATTTGAATTCAGAAAGCAGTTCTCTTCTTCCAGATTTCAAATACCTCAAAGTTTGCATAAAGCTCAAAAGAGGCTTTGTGACATTCAATAAATATGATTAGACATTGCCTGACTCCACTTCAAGATGCATTATTTCTTACAAAGTTAACCTGTGACAGGAAGAATGGAATCTATGAACAGTTTAAGGCTTTTATTGTCCCACCTAATGTTAAAAACAATACAGATCAAATCCACGTAACACTGTTTTTGTTAAAATTTAAGTAAAAATAACAAGTTTGCAGTAACCATATTAATTTAAAACATATAACTGAAACTTATTTCATACATTTAAAAGAATTGTATTCTCCAGTAATTTAAATATCCCTAATGTTAATGCTAATGCTAATATGAAATAAAACTGGATAAAAGACAAGTTTCATTTCTATTACTCCCATCATTCAGGTTAACAGAAAAGAGTAGTCTATTCCATTTCAGTCTTTTCAGAGATAAAAGATAATTAAAAACTAACCGCAGATGGTATGAGCGTGTATCTTGTTTTGGACACTAAAAAAGCAACATTAGATTATACAGAGGCTCATCCTTTGTTCTATAAAGCAAAATGTGCTTTTTCAGGTAAGACAGGATCTGTGGTTAAGATCTATAGCCGCACTGAAGAGGCAGCGCATATGACTAACCTGTATTTTTCAACTACTAAGAGGGTGAGTCTGTTTACCACTAGCAGAACTGGAAATGAAAATGTTGCTGCCTTCCAGACCTTTTACCAATTGGTCATAGGCATTTTGTTTTGTGTAACAAACAAGATGGCTGTATGTGCATTTCTGCTCTCCCGTGTTATGCCTATGTGTATATCTGCATTAGGAGGCCCCAGCAGAAACTCCATGCCGTTGTTGTGACAAGATGGGAGAAGGATTTAGAGCTGAGCAGCCACCCCATTCCAAAACACTGCCCAAATACCTCCCCCACAGGGATGCAATGGCAGACTTTTTTTAGGTTTTTACTCCATTCTCTCTTTACTTACCTTTACACATTCAGCCGCAGTAGATAAACTCTCCTTACTATCAAACACCTGTTTGCTAAATGCATCTACAAACATCCGCATGGTAGATCGGGCCCAGACCACAAAAGCCGAGTAACACCCACTGTTTCCAGCAAAGTCTGTCTCAAACTCTCTTGCGGTCTCTAACAGGCTGGTGAAGAAGACGTGACAAAGTTTGTGAATGTACAGCAAGGTGGCACCCTCAATGCGCAACTGACGGATGGCTGTGTGAACAGCAGCTTCCCTATTTTTCAAGAAAAGTTCACATGCCTTCGTTGACTGGCCCAAGCGAATGAGCTGAGAAACAGCTCTCCGGGTAGCTCTGGGTCCTCCTCGGAGAGACCTATCTGGAGACAATTCAAACACAAGGACCTCAGTGAGCTGTCGGACCCTTTCATCCACCTTAGCTCGCAACTCTCTAACCACCTGGGTCACAGGTTTGTCACTCAGATATTCCTTCAGCTTATCTAACAAATCAACTGCCCCTTCAAAGTCTCTCTGAGCAATGCAGACATCCAAGTCTTCTGGCAGTTCCTGAATCCATTCTAAAGACAGATCCACCGTTTCTTCTTCCGGCGTTGCCTTGTCTTCCTCCGCCGCCTCCTCTTCCTCCTCGTCTACGTCAAACGGATTAGTAGCCTCAGCAGGCATCGGGAGAGCCCGCGTTGGGACCTCCTGCTCCAGCCTCCGTTTCTCACTGAGAGCTCGGTTTCTTTTGGCCTCCTCCAGCACTTCCAACCACTCTTTCTTGATCTTGGCATTCTCGGCTTGGAAGATGCGACTCTCGGGGAACATCAGCAACTTGAACATATCCTTCATGGGGGGGTTGTCCTTGACATTAACCACAGCCAGCCCATCGAGCGGGTAGAGGGCATCGTAACGGTACATGCCCCGCCGGTTGGGCAGCCAGGCGGCCACCAGCAGGCAGTCGTTCATAAGGAAAGCGTGGACTTTCTGGATCTGCCCCATGTGGTCAGCATCGTACTCCACCAGGTCCCCGTTGTACACCAGGTACTTGCCAGGGCCCTCCAGCAGGTCCCGACAGCCCTCCACTTTCTCCAGGAGGGTGGTGAGAGTTCGCTGTCGGCCTTCCTCGTTGGCCAAGGCGTCCTTGTTGGCCGAGAGAGGCAGGAAAGGGTTCGTGTGAGGGTCGGTGGCGCCAGCTGCAGCTCGCCGGGCTCCCACGACAGCCGGGTCTTCTCGCTCGCCGACATTGGCCTGCAGCAACAGGGCCTGGGTGACGGTTTCCATGATGCCTTTCTGCTCGGTGAGGATGTGGCTGAGCTGGTACATCTCGCTCTCCAGGTAGCTGATCTCGCGGGCCGTCTCGATGAACTGCCGGTAGTTCTGGTAGACGTTGCGCTTGAGGCTCTGCGCCGTCTCCTCGCTCAGCGCCTGAATGCGCTGCCGGTGCTCTTGCAGGTCCCGGTCCCCATCCGACTGCTGGGACAGTAGCTTCACGTACTCTTCCGCCGCGTAACTCCCGGACTCCAGTTGCCGTCGCAGACGGCTAGCGCCACCGACTGCGGCCACCTCCCCCAGAGACACCGCCATGTCTGAGCCGGAGCAGCGGGAGACACAAACGAAAGAGCGGAAACGAAAGAGCGTCTGCGCCGGAGAAAGAGCCGCTCCCGACGAGCTTCAGGCGAGAAGAGCCTGCGGGGAAACGTAAAACGTCACGGAACGGCGACAAGTCGCTCTCCGTTCCGCGCATGAGCACAAATGTATCTTGTAGAGCAGGCTTTACCTCCGGGTGTTTGGAGAGGTGCGCAAGCGCTTTGCAGCGTCGAAGAATGGGGCTTAGCGCATGCGCCAGGTTCTTGCGAAGCCGCTTCCGGCCGGTGAACGGTGGCTGAGGGTAGTTTGGTGTTTCGCTTCTTGGAGGAACGATGGACGAGGACCTTTTGCTGGCCCTGCAGTTGCAGGAGGAGTGGGAAGCGGAGGACAAGGAGGTGCGGCTTCAGTCGATCTCCTCGGATCCTCCGCGGCCATTCTCGCTGATGGACGATGCCTGGGAGTTGCTGGACCCCAACCCCGACGTGCGAGGCCTCTTTCTGCAGTTCAACGAGACCCTCTTCTGGGGGCGCCTGGCGGCGGTGGAAGTAAAATGGAGCCCGCGCATGACCCTGTACGCCGAAGGAAGAGCCAGGGAGGGAGGGAGGAGACAGGCGTCCAGGGTTGATGGGACTACCGCTCCTAGAGTTCCCTGCTGCTTGCAGTCCTTGGAATGGTAGTGCGGAGAATATCGGGAGGAAAGGCTGCTCTGCGGGGCTCAGGTGTCAAGAAAGGTGCCTTTAGAGCTGCTCCCATTGTCCCACCCGCTTTTTTTACCTGACGACCAAGCACGGCAGGCATAATCAGACACATATACTGGTCAAGATCAATGTAAAATTTTTGTTCTTGAATCTGGGGATTTTGAGCTACCACAAACCAGTAGGATGAGGTAAAACTGTGAACTATGCTAATTCAGATTGAGATTAAATACTCTTCTATTTCTCCTTGAACAATTGTCCTCTTGCTACCATAGAAAACTAGTAGATCACAATGGATAACATTCTGCTTTGGTAGATTTTTGCTCTTGGGAAACAAAAATGGACAGCTTCTGCTTTGCCTTCTAGGTGCGCTGGAGTTTGCTGCTATGAAGGTCACGGTGGAATGTGCTCCATCCGACTAAGTGAACCACTTTTAAAATTACGGCCAAGGAAGGATCTCGTGGAGGTATTGCAAGATGGAATTCTTTCTACAAATTTCTTGCAGCCTAACGTGGTTGAATGCATATATAAACTGAGGAATATATTTTGTCAGTAACAAATCAGATCTTGAAATATGCTTAATATAAGAATAATAGTAAGAGATCTAAATGTGGCAGGTAATCATATGAATAGCCAGGTCTTTTATATGAATAGAGCACTTTGATTGATGCCTTAGTGCTCTGTGGTTGCAGAAGTTCAGTACTATATATATGTAATGAAGTACTTTTTCCTAGGAAGTAGGAAAACTCATTTGCTTTAAAGACAATGTTTTAATTCCACAAAGATAGAAGAAACAATGAGTTCTGTATTATAAAAATACCAGGGAGCTCCAATGTAGCTGTATGTACCTTATTTCTGATCTATAATATTTTACTTGGGATAAGAAATGTCATATATTCAAAATATATGGTTTACTTCTCAGACTTTTTCTTTCTCATTATAGCATAATAGTTATTTTGGCCAAGGGCTTCTCTTAGTTATTGGATTCCAAACAAGGAGATATGAAATTCTATTATTATGAGGCCAGAGATTTTCTGGTCCATGGCCAGTTAGCCAAGACATCTGTCTTGGTTTTCATGAGATCTGTTCTTTCTTCCATGATTGTTTTGGTGAGAGAGAAGCAAACTAATGTTCTTAAGTTCTTTAGCTTAGGTCATTAATGGGTCAAAAAAAGTTCAATAGATCTATTTGCTTGGTAACTGCAGACAGTTTTACATAACTGTGGAATAAATGCAAAATACCAACAGTTTTACGAATTCTCATTGTAAGTCAAGTTCATTTGTATAAACCTGAATTGTAAGCACCACATTTCAAAATTCAGTTCATATTTTTCTTACCATAGGGAACATAAACTGAAATTGATGAATTTCTTTCCAAAATATGGATATGCAATTGTCTTTGTTAGAAAATGGATACTTAAGTAATCTTATCAATTTCAGACTCTCCTACATGAAATGATTCATGCCCTGTTGTTTGTTACTAATAATGACAAGGATCGTGAGTCCCACGGTCCAGAGTTCTGCAAACATATGCACCGGATAAATCGCTTAACAGGAGCCAATATTATGGTAAAGGCTTTTTGTGATATATAGACTCATTTTCATTCTTCAAGCACAGAATAAAAGACTGCATGATGAGATGGCAAGCCAGTTCACGACAGGATGGTATACTCTAGCAGAGTTGATATTTTCAGCCAATCCTCATAGTTCTATTCTTAGCACATGTAGTTTTATCTTTTGGGTTGCGGGCAACTCATCAAAGTGAAAACATTAAGCTATAATGATCAGAAAATATGCTCTGAGTTACTACAGATTAATCTGAGTGTATCTAAAAAAAATAATTGAAAAAATGAGTGAAAATGGAACTGTAGAGAAAAAAAAGCATGAAAGCTTATATAAAAAGTGTTAGAAGATCAATAAATCTCTCAGAGTGAATGGAAAAATATTTCACATATTTGTTGGGTATAATAGCAATATGTGTAAATATAAAAAGTCTGGATATAATAGTAACATGCTGAATTGAAACAAATACTATAAATTACATAAAATGAAATTTTACACTTGATTAATGCCCAAGGGAAAAAAGGTGAAAGTTTAAAAAAATGGTAACATAACATAAATAGGTGGAGTAATTGGAAAAAATATCTGAATGTAGCTTGGTTAATTGTTTGTCTATGTGAGTTGTTTCAAACAAGCGTGAAAACTGATTCTGCCTAACAATGGGAAGAATATGATTATTAATCCATATACAAAAGTTAGTTGTTGGTTGGTCATATGAAGGTAGTACCGATATATTTTTCTTGTATGAGAACTTGAATGATGTGTTACTCTTGACGAATCTATCTTTTCTTTTATGTATACTGAGAGCATTTGCACCAAGACAGATTTCTTATGTGTCCAATCACACTTGGCCAATAAAGAATTCTATCTATCAATGTTAAACAGACTGTATGTGGCAGCAAGGGGTTGGAGCTGAAAATCAAAGATAAAGACATCTTTGTTGGACAGGTGAAATAACTGAAATAATGGCTAGTTATATTGTATATAAATGCTGAAAAACTAGAGCAAGAATGTGTATGTTCATAAATGTCTGTAGAAACACATGTATTCTATAAAAAGGAATGAATGTTGAAGAAGTGAAAAATAGCTGTATTCAACAGTGTGCTTTTGTCCATGTTAGCCATGTGAAAGTAAGGAGTTGGGTATACAGGAAAAACAAAAAAAAGTAGTGAGAGTGGGAAAATTAGCCTTCTGGACAATAGATTAAGGTCAGGAATGAATGGGTGATTAATTTATATGGACCAACATTGCATCAGTAGTATAAAAGTATATTGAAATAGTTTCCTTATGTTAAAAAAATGCATGTAATTGGTTTGGGAAACAAATATATGAAGGAAGAGTGAGTACACATAGAGAAAGTGGAACATTGGATGGAGTGGTCAGACCCTCTTATACCTTTAATTTGTTTGATTTACTGTTTCTCACTCCTTTTCTGCACTCTGAATATCTGAATTACTGCTTACCCTGAAAGGGAATATAGTAGCATGATAGATGTATATGTATTTATATAAAATGAAAGTTGTATTGTACACTTTTCCCTCTTTGGATTAATTTCAGATCTATCATGAATTTCATGATGAGGTGGATTTCTATCGTCAGCACTGGTGGCGGTGTAATGGGCCATGTCGAAATAGGAAGCCTTATTATGGCTATGTAAAACGTGTAATGAATAGGGCGCCATCTGCCAATGACTATTGGTGGGCAGAGCACCAAAAGAGCTGTGGGGGAACATATACCAAGGTCAGAGAGCCCGACAACAGCTCCAAGAAATGCAAGAAGAAGAACGATGATCAAGCAAAAATCCTAGATGATGGTTCACGTATGTACCTTTTGTTATTTACCAGCTAACTAAATTCTGTAAATCTAAACGAAAAGAGTAATTAGAAAGCTACTTAATTTTTTCTCAATACTGCTGATTCATATTTTCAAGTAAATAGAATTGTGTTCAGTATAAAAGCAAAAAGCACTGAATATTGATTTTCTAGATGAGGGTGATTTGAGATTAATTTGAATTAGTGATGCGGATCCTAAAAGCAGTTGGAACAGAATGAAGTTTTCCATAAGAGACTTTCTCAATTCCTCAACTCCAACTAGTAAAATGGTTTACCATCCCAGAATCCCAGAATTAAGGCTTTTGTGTGCATGCATGCCTTAAAGTCAATCTTGATCCCTGGAACTGCCTGGACAAATCCTTGTAGTTTTCTTGGCATTATTTTCAGAAATGCTTTGCCATTGTTTTCTTCTTAGATCTGAGAGAGAACTAGGCCTAAAGTCACCCAGCTGGCTTCATGCCTAAGGTGGGATTCATGGTTTTTAGTCTTGTGTTTTAACCACTATGTAAGACTGCTTCAGGGGTGGGCTGCTTGGGGTTTGCAGGGGTTCGGGAGATCCCCTAGCTAAGATTTTGCACAGTTTCGAGAATCCCCAAATCCCCTGGCTGGCCCTGCCCACCACTCCCCTCCCAGGAGTCTCCACGTGGCCTGTTTTGGATGCAGGTAAGTGCAGGGCTCCCACAGAGACTCGGGGAAGGCGAAAAACAGGCCTCCTGGAAGTTCGGGAAGGCCGGAAACAAGCCCATTTCTGGCTTCCAGAGAGCCTCCGGAGCCCGGGAAGGGCAAAAATGCCCTCCCCCTGGCCATGGTGCTGGAGGCTGACTAGGCCATGGCCATGCCCACCCAGCAACCAGGCAGAGAACCTGTTGCTAAAATGTTTTAAGCCCAGCCCTGGAATGCTTCTCTAAAATAAAAATAGAAAAAAACATCCATGTAAATTAAAATTTAGCTGCTTGTGCTCATATTCCATATTGGTTTTGCAGAATTCTCACTCTACAAATGCAATTTTATGACTGATACATCAAAATATT